GCTGGATTTCATCCTTTCTTATGGCTGAGTAGTATTCCATTGTGTATATATACCACATCTTCTTTATCCATTCGTCCCTTGATGGGCACTTAGGTTGTTTCCAAGTCTTGGCTATTGTGAATAACGCTGCAATGAACACAGGGGTGCATGTATTTAGACAGTGGTTATGGATGTTGTGGCAAGAATACTAATGAGGTGAAGTACCCTTCTCCCAGTGTCATACGGGGGGTGACTGACATCACGTCTCATTGCCACTGGGGCTAACCTTGATCACTGGCTAAGGTGTGTCTGCTGGGCTTCTCCACTGTATTTATCTCTTCGTAATTCCTAATTTTTTTTTATTGATGTCATAATAGTTTATAACACCTGTGAAATTTTAGTTGTAGATTGTTGTTTGTCAGTCACCATATAAATGCGTCCCTTCACCCCTTGTGCCCACTACACCAACCCCCTTGGCCCTGCTAACCACCAAATTGTTCTCTCTGTCTATGTGTTAGTTTATCTTCCACATATGAGTGAAATCATGTGGTGTCTGTTTTTCTCTCTCTGGCTTATTTTGCTTAACAAAATACCCTCCATCTCCGTCCATGTTGTTGCAAACGGGAAAATTTTCTCTTTTTTTATGGCTGAGTAGTATTTCATTGTATATACATACCACATCTTCTTTATCCAATCATCAGTCGAGGGACACTTAGGAGCTATAGTGAATAATGCTGCAATGAACATAGGGGTGCATAAGCCTCTTTGGATTGTTAATTTCAGGTTCTCCTTCAGGTTCAGATTCCATACTATTTTTCATAGAGGCTACACCAGTTTGCATTCCCACCAGCAGTGAAGGAGGGTTCCTGTATCTCCACAACCTTTCTAACATTTGTTACTTTTTGTCTTGGTGGCGTGAGGTGATATCTTAGGGTAGTGTTGATTTGTATTTCCCTGATGATTAGTGATGTTGAACATCTTTCCATGTGCCTATTGGCCATCTGTACATCTTCCTTGGAAAACTGTCAGTTCATATCCTCTGCCCATTTTTTGATTGGGTTGTCTGTTTTTTCTTGCTCAGTTGTGTGAGTTCTTTATATATTATGGAGATTAAGCTCTTGTTAGATATATGATTTGCAAATATTTTCTCCCTACTGTTGGGTTGTCTTTTCATTTTGATCCTGGTTTCATTTGCCTTACAGAAGCTCTTTAGTCTCATGAAGTCCCACTTGTTTATTTTTTCTTTTGTTTGCCTTGTCTGAGTACACATGGAATTCGAAAATATCCCTCTATGACCAAGGTCAAAGAGTGTTCTGCGTATATTTTCTCCCAGGTTTTTATAGTTTCAGGTTTTATACTCAAGTCTTTGATCCGTTATGAGTTAATTTTTGTGTGTGGTGTAAGATAATGGTCTACGTTCATTCTTTTGCATGGGGCTGTCCAATTTTCCCAACACCATTTATTGAAGAGACTTTCCTTTCTCCATTGATGTATTTGGCTCCCTTGTTGAAAATTAGCTGTCCATAGATGTGTGGGTTTATATCTGGCCTCTCGATTCTCTTCCATTGATCTGTGTGTCTGTTTTTGTACCAATACCATGCTGTTTTAATTGTTATAGCCTTGTAGTATATTTTGAAGTCAGGGATTGTGATGCCTCCAGCTTTGTTCTTTTTTCTCAGGATTGCCTTAGCTATTCAGGGTCTTTTGTTGCCCCATATGAATTTTAGGATTCTTTGTTCTATTTCCGTGAAGAATGTCATTGGGATTCTGATTGGGATTGCATTGAATTTGTAGACTGCTTTAGGTAGTATGGGCATTTTAACTATGTTTATTCATCCAGTCCATGTGCATGGGATGTCTTTCCATTTGTTTATGTCTTCATAGATTTCTTTCCATAATGTCTTATAGTTTTCATTGTGTAGGTCTCTCACCTCCTTGGTTAACTTTATTCCTGGATATTTTATTCTTTTTGTTGCAATTGTAAATGAGATTGTATTCTTGAGTTCTCTTTCTGTTAGTTCGTTATTAGAGTACAGAAATGCAACTGAATTTTGTAAGTTGGTTTTGTATCCAGCAACTTTGCTGTAGTTGTCGATTATTTCTAATAGTTTTCTGATGGATTCTTTAGGGTTTTCTATACATAAAATCATGTCATCTGCAAATAGCAAGAGTTTCACTTCTTTGTTGCCTACTTGGATTACTTTTATTCCTTTTTCTTGCCTAATTGCTCTGGCCAAAATCTCCAGTACTATGTTGAATAAAAGTGGTGGGAGTGGGCACCCTTGTCTTGATCCTATTCTCAGAGGAATGGCTTTCAGTTTTTCCCTGTTGAGTATGATGTTGGCTGTGGGTTTTTCATATATGGCCTTATTATGTTGAGGTACTTTCCTTCTATACTCATTTTGTTGACAGTTTTTATGATAAATGGATGTTGGATCTTGTAAAATGTTTTCTCTGCATCTACTGAGATGATCATGTGATTCTTATTCCTCATTTTCTTAATGTGGTGTATCACACTGATTGATTTGCAGATGTTGACCCATCCCTGTGTCCCTAGTATAAATCCAACTTGATCATGGTGTATGATCTTTTAAATGTATTGCTATATTCAGTTTGCCAATATTTTGTTGAGGATTTTTGCGTCTATGTTCATCAGTGATATTGCTCTGCAGTTTTCCTTCTTAGTGTTGCCTTTGTCTGGCTTTGGTATCAGGGTGATTTTGGCCTCATAGAATGTGTTGGGAAGTGTTCCATCTTCCTCTATTTTTTGGAATAGTTTGAGAAGGACAGGTATGAAATCTTCTTTGAATGTTTGGTAAAATTCTCCAGAGAAGCCATCTTGCCCCGGACTTTTATTTTTTGGGAGGTTTTTGATTACTGTTTCAATCTCTTTACTGTGGTTGGTCTATTCAGATTCTCTATTTCTTCTTGATTCAGTTTTGGGAGGGTGTATGAGTCTAAGAATTTATCCATTTCTTCTAGATTGTCCAATTTGTTGGCATATAGTTTTTCATAGTATTCTCTTACAATCTTTTGCGTTTCTGTGGTATCTGCTATAATTTCTCCTCTTTCATTTCTAATTTTATTGATTTGAGCCTTCTCTCTTTTTTGCTTCGTGAGTCTGGCTAAGGGTTTGTCAATTTTGTTTTTCTTCTCAATGACCCAGCTCTTTGTTTCATTGATCCTTCCTACTATATTTTTGGTTTCAATATCATTTATTTCTGCTATAATTTTAATTATTTTCCTCCTTCTGTTGACTTTGGGCTTTGTTTGTTCTTCTTTTTCTAATTCTGTTAGGTGTAGTTTAAGATTGCTCATTTGGGATTTTTCTTGTTTGTTAAGGTGGGCCTGTATTGCTATGAGTTTCCCTCTCTGGACCACTTTTGATGCATCCCATATGAGTTCGTATGGTGTATTTTAATTTTCACTTGTCTCCAGATATTTTTTCATTTCTCCTTTAATTTCTTCAATGATCCATTGGTTGTTCAGTAGAATGTTGTTTAGTCTCCACATCTTTGTCAGTTTCCCAGTTTTTTCTTATAGTTGATTTCTAGTTTCATAGCATTATGGTTGGAAAAGATGCTTGTTAATATTTCAATCTTCTAAAATTTATAGAGGCTTGCTTTGTTTCCCAACATATGGTCTCTCCTTGAGAATGTTCCATGCGCCCTTGAGAAGAATGTATAATCTGCTGTGTTTGGATGGAGTGCTCTCTATATATCTATTAAATCCATCTCGTCTAGTTTTTCATTTGAGTCTGCTATTTCCTTATTGACTTTCTATCTGGATGATCTATCCATTGATGTAAGTGGGTGTGTTGTCATTAATTGTGGTGTTATTAATATCTCCATTTAGGTTTGTTAATAGTTGCTTTATGTACTTTGGTGCTCCTATGTTGGGTGCATGTATACTTATAAGTGATATGTCTTCTTGGTGGAGTGTCCCTTTTATCATTATATATCACCCCTCTTTGCCTCTCATTACCTGTTTTATCTTGAAGTCTACTTTGTCTGATATAAGTATGGCAACACCTGCTTTCTTTTGTTTGCCATTAGCTTGGAGTATCATCTTCCATCCTTTCACTCCGAGTCGGTGTTTGTGTTTAGAGCAGCGATGTGTTTCCTGGAGGCAGTATATTGTTGGATCTTTCTTTTTAATCCATCCCGACACTCTGTGTCTTTTGATTAGAGAATTCAATCCATTTACATTAAGAGTGATTATTGATACATGAGGGCTTAATGTTGCTATTTTTTCACTCATTTTCTGGATCTTCTGCATTTCCTTTCTTTCTCATCCCATGTGCTTCGGACTACCAATTCTGTTTGTTAGTTCTGTATGATGATTTTCTTAGTTTTCTCTTGATTTGTCATATGTGTCTCTCTTCTGATTATCTGTTTAGTGGTTACCATGAGGTTTGTATAAAGAGTCTTGTAGATGAGATAGTCAATTTTCTGATGGCCTCTTATTTCCCTAGACTAAGTTGATTCCATCCTTTTCTTCTTCCCCTTCTAAGTTATTATCGTCACAACTTATTCCATCTTGTTTTGTGAGTTTGTGGTTAAAGTGATGAGGTTACATTTATTTTTGTTTTCCCTCCTTTAATCTTTGATGTTATGATTAAGTGTTTGCTAATCTATTCTGATAGAGAGCTGCAATTTTTCTGATTTTGTCTACCTCTTTTTCTCCTTGCTCAAAGCTTTGTATCCCCTTTCTCTCTTTTTTTTTTTTTCTTTTCAGGCATGAGGGCCTTCTTGAGCATTTCTTGTAGTGGGGGTCTCGTGGCAATGAGCTCCCTTAGCTTTTGTTTATCTGGGATAGTTATTGTTTCTCCATCATATCTGAAGGATATTTTCACTGGATAGAGTATTCTTGGCTGAAAGTTTTTGTCTTGCAGAATTTTGAATATACCATTCCACTCTCTCCTAGCCTGTAAAATTTCTGCATAGAAATCCACTGAAAGCCTTTGTTGGTTATTTTTTTTTTCCTTTTTAAATTTTATTTATTTTATTTTATTTTTCCCATAAAGCCCCAGTAGATAGTTGTATGTTATAGCTGTGCATCCTTCTAGTTGCTGTATGTGGGACGCAGGCTCAGCATGGCCGGACAAGTGGTGTGTTGGTGCGTGCCCGGGATCCAAACCCGGGCTGCCAGCAGCGGAGCGCGCGCACTTAACCGCCAAGCCACAGGGCCGGCTCTGTTGGTTATTTTTTTTGTCTTTGCTGCCCTTAATATTTTTTTCTTTGTCATTGACTTTTGCCAGCTTTAATACCATATGCCTTGGAGAGGGTCTCTTAATTGAGTTGAATAGTTCTTGAAGAATTTCTTCATTTCTTTTCAGTCTTACTTCTTCTCCTCCTCCATCTGGAGCACTTCTGCATTCCTTTCCTCTATATTGCTAATTCTTTCCTCCATACTGTCAGCTCTGTTCTTTAAAGATTCCAGATTTTTCTTTATCTCTTCCATTGTGTTTTTCATCTCCAACCTTTCTGATTTGTTTTTCCTTATAGTTTCAATCTCTTTTGTGAAGAAGTTCCTGATTTCATTGAATTTTCTATCTGTTTTCTTGTGATTAGTTAAACTTTTTTATGATAGTTATTTTGAATTCTCTGTCATTTAGGTTATAAATTTCAGTGCCTTCAGGATTGACTTCTGGGTGCTTGTCACTCTCCTTCTGATTTGGAGATTTAATATATTTTTGCATACTGCTTGAGGGCATGGGTTTGTTTTGCCTCGTGCTGAAAATGTCTGTCTCAACTTCCACCTAACACCACTGGGTGGGGGTCAAGAGCTGTGTATTCTGAGCCTGCCATGATCCGTGGGCCATCTGGCCAACCAGCTGTGCTGGAGCACTGGGTGGGGAGAGGGGATCTTACTTTTGCCGGCGTGATCCTGGGGGCTTCTCACTGTTCCCTCCTGATCTGCTCTTCTGGGGCGCTAGCTTGATGAAGACACCCTCAGAGCAATACAGTCCCCTCCATGTGGGAATTTCCCATGGGCTGTGAGAGAACTTGGAGAGTGATGATTGTCCCATGGAAGGCCACACCTCTCCCCTCTCTCTCTGAGAGCCATGCAGACTCATAGTTGTTGCTGTTGGGGAAGGAGAGGGGTTCTCTTTACTTCCTTCCACTTCCTCTGGGGGTTCCAGCACCTCCACCTTCATATGTAAGGCTGCATGGGTCTCTCAGACATCTTTTGTGTTGTGTGAATGTCCTCTGTTGGTATATGAATGTCCTTTTTGTTGTATCTTGGAGGGGAGAGTCTACGGGGAAAATCTCACTCTGCCATGATGCTGACATCACTCCTGTAATTCCTAATTTTTGACTGAAGTACTTTGAGACTATACAAACATCCCGTTTCTGCTTAAATTTTTGCCCACTACTTTTAGCATTTATTGGTGGGTCTTACTTGGAGCAATTATTACTGTGGTGTTCTAGAGGGGATATTCTATTATTATCTTTTCTTCTGCCTTTATTAATTGTAATTTTTCCTTATTAAAGAGTTGTCACTTTTCCCCCATTTGTTTTATTTATCCATTAATTTATTTATATTAGTATGGACTCATGATTATTATTTAATTTTTTTACATTATAATCCAAAAATATCATTTTGTTGTTCAATTTGTTCCAACTTTGGCCGTGCAAGTTGGCGCTGGTGTGCATACAATATGCCCCTCCTTTCTTTTTTCTTTTCTTTTCTTTCCTTTCCTCTAACCCTCCCTCCCTCCTTTCCTTCTCATTCTCTCTCTCTAGCACAAGATGCTTCGTAGTTACCTTGAATTTTCCTTACCCCAGACTTGGAATCAACTACTGCTTAAAGGAGCTCTGGTTCTTTTTATTAACAATGGTATTTTTTTGGTGGAGTGTGTGGGCCCACTGTGTGGAGGCGACTGGGTCCACTTCAGTGGGTTACAGTATGCACACAGGGTAGGACTGTATTGAAGGTGTGTGTGGTCCTGTGGGTGGTGGGGCTTGTCAGCTGCAAAAGACTTGTGCTTTCAAACAGCCACACAGGGGATAAGCCCCACTTTCCAAAGCCTGAAAAAATTGGGTGCTCCTGTGCCTAGGGCCGGCCCCACTCAGCTGCACTCCTGAGAGATCAGACAACAGCATGCAGGTGGGAGGCCTACAGCAATTGTAACCCTTGAGTCTAGCAACCTCCCATGCTGGGGGGCCTACTAACTTAACAGAAAAACTGTAACAGGAATGTGCTATTAGACTTTGCAGCCAACTGTGCTGGGGCTCCCCATGCCTGATAAAGTACCTGAAGGGACCATAACAGCCACAGTCAGCTAAACATTAAAACCAACCAGCCAGGGGGCCAGCCTAGCCTCCCTGGGCACCTGCAGCAAGAGAAACCCTGCCACAACAGAAGGACACATGTAGCCAACACAGGGGACACTCCTGGAACATTTGGAACTGGTGACAAGAGGGAAGCACACTGCTGGGCCTCATAAGGCATCTCTTACATAAGGTCACATCTCCAAACATGAGAGACGTAGCTGATCTACCTAATACACAAATATAAGCACACTACACCCAAGAATACTCTACTTGGCAAGGTTATCATTCAGAATGGCAGGAGAGATAAAGAGCTTTCCAGACAAGAAAAACCTAAAGGAATTTATCACCAAGAAAGCAGCCTTAAGAGAAGTGCTAAAAAGACTTACTTAAGTGGAAAGGAGAAGATCACAAATAGGAATAAGAAAATTATCAAAACAAACAATAAAATCACTGGTCAAGGCAAATGTACAGTAAGGGTAGCAGATCAACCACCTATGAAGCTAAGATGAAGGTCGAAAGAAAAAAGTACTAAAATTATCTATTTCCATGATAAGAGGGTAGTGGATACACACACACAAAAGAGGTTAGGTATAATATCAAAAACATAAAATGCGGGAGGAAAGGAGTAAAAGAATAGAGCTTTTAGCAAGAGGTCAAACTAAAGAGACTATCAACTAAATATAGATTGGTATGTACATAGGTTATTATATATGAACCTCATGGTAATCACAAGCCAGAAAACTATAATGACTACACAAAAAATTAAGAGAAAAAGACACAAACATAATACTAAAGAAAGCCATCAAACCACAAAGGAAGAGAAAAAGAGAAGAAAGAAAAGAAGAGAAGAACTAGTAAAACACCCTTAACAAAAGTAACAAAATGGCAATCTGTACATTCTTATCAATAGCTACTTTAAATGTCAATGGACTAAATGATCCAATCAAAAGGCACAGGGTAGCTGATTGGATAAAAACACAAGACCCGTACATGTACATATGCTGCATACAAGAGACACACTTCAGACTTAAAGACACTCCCAAACTGAAAGTGAAGGCGTTGAAAAGGATACTCCAAGCAAATGGTAATGAAAAGAAAGCTGCAGTAGCAATACTTATATCAGACAAAACAGACTTTAAAACAAAAACTGTAACAAGAGACAAAGAGGGGCACTAGATAGTGATCAAGGGAACAATCCAACAAGAGGATATAACACTTGTAAATATTCATGCACCCGACACAGGAGCACCTAATATATAAAGCAATTATTAACAGACATAAAAGGAGAAATAGCAACACAATAATAGCAGGAGATTTAACACTCCACTTACACTAATGGATAGATCATCCAAACAGAAGTTCAATAAGAAACATTGACCTTAAATGATAGATTAGACCATTTGGACTTAGTATATATATATAGACCATTCCACCCAAAACCACAGAATACACATTATTCTCAAATGCATATGGAACATTATCCAAGATAGATCACATATTAGGCCAGAAAACAAGTCTCAATGAATTTAAGAAGATTGAAACAATACTAAGCATCTTTTCTGATCACAAGGGTATGAAACTAGAAATCAACTACAGGAAGAAAATCAGAAAAGCCACAAATATGTGAAGATTAAACAAAATGCTATTGAACAATGATTGGGTCAATGAAGAAATCAAAGGAGAAATCAAAAAATACCTGGAGACAATGAAAATACAACATGCCAAAATTTATGGCATACAGGAAAAGTTGTTCTAAGAGGGATGTTTATAGCAATACAGGGATATCTCAACAAATAAGAAAAATATCAAATAATCTAACTGTGCACCTGAAGGAACTGGAAAAAGAAGAAAAAACAAAGCCCCAAATCAGCAGAATAAAGGACATCATAAAAATCAGAGCATAAATAAATGAAATAGAATAAAAAATAGAAAATAAATCAATGAAACTAAGACCTAGTTCTTTGAAAAGATAAACAAAATTGACAAGTCTTTACCTAGACTCACCAAGAACAAAAGAATGAAGGCTCAAGAAGTAAAATCAGAAATGAAAGAGGAGAAATTACAACAGACAACTCAGAAATACAAAAGATTATAAGAGGATACTACAAAAAGCTATACAGCAACAAATTGGATAATCTAGAAGAAATGGATAAATTCCCAGAATTATACAACTTTCCAAAACTGAATCAAGAAGAAATAGACAATTTGAATAGACCCATCACCAGTAAGGAGATTGAAACAATAATCAAATACCTCTCAAAAATTAAAAGTCCCTGGTGAATTCTACAAAATATTCAAAGAAGACTTAATGCCTATCCTTCTGAAACTCTTCCAAAAAATTGAAGAGGAGGGGAAGATTCCTAACTCATTCTATGAAGCCAACCATACCCTGATGCCAAAAGCAGATAAGGACAACACAAAAAAAGAAAATTACAGGTCAATATTACTGATGAACATCAATGCAAAAATCCTCAACAAAATACTAGCAAATCGAATACAACAAAACATTAAAAAGATCATACACCATGATCAAGCGGGATTTATTCCAAGGATGCAGGGATGGTTCAATATCCACAATCAATGTGATACACCATATTAACAAAGTAAAGAATAAAAATCACATGATCATCTCAATAGATGCATAGAAAGTATTTTACAAGATACAGCATCGACTTATGATAAAAACTCTGAATAAAATGGGTATAAAAGAAAAGTACCTCAACATAATAAAGGCCATATATGACAAACTCACAGCTAATATCATTCTCGATGGAGAAAAACTGAAAGCTATCTCTCTAAGAACAGGAACCAGACAAGGATGCCCACTTTCACCACTCTTATTTGACATAGTATTGGAAGTCCTACCCAGAGCAATCAGGCAAGAAAAAGAAATAAAATGGATCCAAATTGGAAAGGAAGAAGTGAAACTGTCTATTTCCAGATGACATGATTTTATATATAGAAAACCCTAAAGAATCCACCAAAAATCTTTTAGAAATAATAAATGAGTATGGTATAAAGTTGCAGGATACAAAATCAACATACAAAAATCAGTTGCATTTCTATACACTAACAATGAGGTAGTAGAAAGAGAAATTAAGAATACAATCCCATTTACAATTGCAACAAAAAGAATAAAATACC